AAAAAAAAAAAAAAGAAATGATGGAACACAGGTTCTTGTCCTGGAAAATCTGCCTTTCCTCTGCTCGGGATGGCTGCGTTCAGACACGAGGGTGCCTGTGGTCCCTGGCTGCCTGCTGAGTGCCTGCTGTGTACAGGCCCCACACCTTACAGCTCACGCGCATCCCAGGTGCCCTCTCATCCGCTCTGAGACACAGGCAGAGGACACTGACAAGGTGTTCAGATGAGGGAGCAGTGCGGCTGGGGCTGGGAAATGGGGTGGGGGGCCGGGCTCCAGGTGGCAGCTACTGATGGGGCAGCTGTCAGAGTCAATCCCTTTGAAATGAAGTCTTTGTGTGGGGGGAGCTGCAAAGGGGGAGGGCGGGACAGGGAGGGAGGAGGCCCTGGTGGGAAGGGCCCCGCAAGGCCTGCCCAGAGCACCAGGATCTGGCTGGGACTGGAGACTGGCGCGGCTGGAGCTGCAGCTGCCTGGCAGAGGGGACACTGAGGTGGGGGTGTGGCTCTGGGACAGACATCAGGGCAGGACATCCCTAGCAAGGGTCCACGGTCTGGCTGGGAGATGTGGACTAGCTGCAACGTGGGGCGGGGTTAAAGGTCTTCTAGGGTGGCCCTGGGGAGCACAGCTCTGCACCTGAACACCACCCTGGCCGCAGGCCTGCAGCTTCAGGAGCATGAGTGAGCAGGGAAGGGAGATGGAGGAGGAGGAGGGAGGCGGTGCTTCGGACACAGCGCCTATGCTGCCCCAGGGACCTCCTGACCACCAGGCCTCAGCCCTGCCGTGCCCAGGGTGGCCGGGGCCCCTGCTGCTGCCCGGCCGGCTGGTGGCCGGGCTCCTGCTGCACCTCCTGCTGCCCGCCACAGCCTTCCTGCTGGTGCTCCTGCCCGCAGCGGCCGTCGTCTACCTGGGATTCCTGTGCCACTCGAGGGTGAGCCTGTGCCCCATGGGCGGGAGACTAGCTGGGATCCTGGGGAGTGGGCGTGCCCTGCGGCTGAAGGCCACTGTGCCCCTTTCCAGTATTGCCCCTTGTCCTCGGAGACACATGTGCCCCTACCTGGCAGCCCCTTCTTCTCCCAAGCACCCCCACCAGCCACGGCCAAAAAAGAGCTTTTGTTTTTCACCCAAGGGACAGCTCTGTCCCCACCCCAAGGCCTCCCGGCCTTGTACCAGGGGCCACCAGGGCCTGGACAGCTGGGTGGGGGTGGGGAGAGAACGGGGTTCCAGGAAAAGAAGATGAAAATGTTGTCAAGTTTCACTAACGCACAGCCCCCCGTCCCTCCAACACACACGGCCCCTCCCAGGCCCTCCTGCCAGGGCGGGGCTTCCCCCCTGTGGAGTGGGCTGTGGCCTGGTCTGGGGGCGGGGGTTCAGGCAGATGGCCCCGAGCCCCTTTCTGTTGGCATGGGGGATGGCGCCAGCTGGTGATGGGACGGCGCAGGGGGACAGAACACGGCAGTGGGCGCTTTTTCTGAGCCTCCCCTCAAGGGACCCTGCTCGGCCCTTTACCTGCTGCGTCCCGGATCTCCCGTTCACCCCTCAGCACTGCCTGGCCCACAGCGGCCCGCCCCTCCCCTCTCTCCGCCCCGCCCCTCCTTCGCCCAGGCCCTAATCCTTCATCCCTCCATCTCCCCCTCCCTCTCCCCACCCTGCTCAGCCCGCCCCGGCCCCTCTATCGCCCCGTCCCTGCTCTTTCATCTTCTCTATCTGCCACTCCTCTCTCCCGCCCTGCACCCTTCCATCTCCTGTTGCCGCGGCCTAGCATCCTTTCTCCCACCCCGCTCCCTCTCCCCTCCCCTCTCCACCCTGCTCCAGCCCACCCATCCCTCACCGTCCGGCCCTCACCGCCCCTTCATCACCCT